AAGTCGAATAATTCTGCAAACCCTTCCATGGCGTCCCTGGTAAGGTTAGAGAGTCTCAGCAACTTGCAATGAACATAGTTAATGCGGTCAACATTAACTATGTTGACTTCAATTTTAATAGCACTCACTGTTTTCACACAGTCATATTTATCCTTTACACCTCATACAGCAACTCGAACACTGAAAGATGGCGAGACAGGGGAGCAGGCGAGTCTTCATATACCCCTATTTCGTGCACCCTGCCTGAGGCGGGGGGGGTTGGATCCCAGATCTTTGCCAGTGCATATATATATATTGACTTGCCTTTGACGGTGCATTATAATAAAATATACATAAGTTCATACATAATATAGAATCATAACAAAGCACATGTACACACATCACAAACAGCTGTTTAAACACAAAGTATGCCCCATTCAGGGTGAGCCTTGGCAGCATTACATTTAAATTAATGATCAATACTGCAACGCAAAAACAAAAGTCTAATCAAAATTGTCCTCCTGGGGTCTGTCTGGTAGAAAATTCATGTCTATCTTCTCTGATATTTTTATACAAAATAAAATTTGAATTTTTTGTGTGAACTGCGGCTTCTCTTTACTGACAGATTCTCATCTACTAACAATCGAAACCAAAGACGAAAATGATTTTCTGGCCAACTACATCACTGAGCACCCTCTCATCACCAGTCAAGTGTGGCTCGGCATAGATCTTGATACTCAAGGTAAGAATCGCAATTTAAAAATAAAAGCTGGACAGTAATATGACATTAATTCATTCTTTTTTTCATTTTTGTTTGTCCTCTTAGGTAAGCCTGTATCCTCGCAAGATGGCTCCCATCTGGATTTCTCTAACTGGTCATCTACAGCCGGAACCGGGAAGAAGTCTGGGTCCCAGTGTGCCGTCATGGTGGCAGGCAATGGTGGAAACTGGAATCTGGTCCCCTGCGAGAGTAGCTACAGTCGTGTTGTTTGCAAAACGAAAGCAAGTGAGTATCACAAGAGGTGTCGAGACAAACCCTAACACTTTGTGGGAATTTGTTTTGCTGCTGACTGAAGGATGAGAGCATTCCTCTGTTATTTGCATGATAAACACAGAAAGTACGGCGACTTTTTCACTTTTTCTTCATTTTATTTTGCTGTAAAATTATTCACACTAAAAAACCTGTAATAACAGGAGGTTTTAGTTGAAACATTTTTTGAACTTAGTTTGTGTCTAACACGCTGCCTCTTGGACTGGGGCTGATGATGTGCTAACGTTTGTTCCTCAGAGTCTGCAGGCTCCCCGGTGGCACTGGGCTTCTTCATCGTGGCGCTCATCGCTCTCATTTTAGCCCTCGGCTTTGTCATCTACAAGAAAAAACGAGCCCACTTCCCTTCTACCGTCCGCTACGAGAGGACCTTAGACGATATGGACACCACCAGTATAATTGATGCAGACTGAGCCTGCTTCAAGTTTTCAGCCTCAGGAAGTATTGATATGTCTGCCACAAGTGATTTTTTTAAATTATTTATTTATCTTTCT